CTCCATAGTGGTTGGGCCAGTTTGCACTCCCACCAGCAATGTAGGAGAGTTCCTTTTTCACCACATCCTCGCCAACATTTGTTGTTGCTTGTTTTTTTGATATGCGCCATTCTTCCTGGTGTAAGGTTGTATCTCAATGCGGTTTTGATTTGCATTTCCCTGATTATAAGGGATGTTGATATGTTCTGTATTCTTTCGCTAGGATGTAAGTACCCCGAGACCAGGGTGCTGAACTGACTTGCTTACCACTCCCTACCAGCAGGCTGGCCTTTAGTGGACACTCAATAAATATTGTTTATATACCAAATCCTACATTATGTCATTTTTGTCTATTTATATATGAGCTTCAAAGAGGGTTTCCCTTTATGCCCTATTGATGCCTTTCAAGGTCCCATCCCCCAGTTCTTCTTTGGTATGACTTATTTTAAGGTTTCCTTTAAAATTTTTTATCCCCTCCAAGCCAGATATTTCATTCTAGCTGTAAGTCTATATATGAGTTACCTGCTGCTGTATAACAATATTAGGACAAATGTAAGTGGCTTAAAACCACACCCATTTATTATCTCACAGTTTCCATGGGGCAGAACTCCAGCACAGCTTCGCTGTGTCCTGCTCAGGGTCTCACAAGTCTGTGGTCAAGGTGTCGGCTGAGAGTTGGTGTCATCTAAGGCTCCATCTGTTTCTGGGCTCACTCAGGTTATTGGCTGAATTCAGTTCCTTGTGGTTGGAGAAGGGGGGTTTCAGTTTCCTTTTAGTTTTCAGCCTGAGGCTGCCCTCTCCCCCTAAACATCACTCCCAGTTCCTTCCCATGTGAGGATTCAAAACATCACCCTCTGCCTCCTTAGAACCAGTGAGGGAGGGGGGGAGTCTGGAAAACAGGCTCCATAATCTTACACAACATAATCACATACTCATCATCACATAGGTCCTACACATTTGACATACTACTGGTTAAAAGCAAGCCATGGGCCCCAGTATATTCAGGGAACGGAGTCATGCAGTACACGAACCCCAAGAGGCAGGAATCGTGGAAACTGCCTTAATTAAGAATATATGCCACAGGGGCCTCCCTGGTGGCACGAGGGGTTAAGACACAACCTATGAAGCTAACCACAGCCACTGCGGCACAAGTTCGATCCCCAGCCAAGGAGGAGACCCACATGGCGCACCAGACTTCTCCTGACTCATACGCTGCTCCCCTCAGCAGTGTATTTTCAGTCAGTCTGCCTGTTCTGTTCCCCACTCTGTCTCTGGTGAATTCTCTCACCCCCCACACCTCTGGCCTATACCCCAGTTCTTGTGTGCATAAATAAATAAAATCTTTTTAAAAAAAGATTATATGCCACAACCTATAAACATTGTTTATATACCTTTGTAATGTACTTTCTTGGAAAGTCTGCTTGCTGAGCAATAAATGCTTTTAACCCCCCAACTTGTTACTGAAGTATTAATGATATAAATTACATTTCAAAATTAATACCCCCCCATTTCAGTTCTGTGTACCTTTCTTCTTTTCTATGCATTTAAAAATGCAAGAGTTAGACAACATTTGTAATCTAATGTATACAAATTAAGTACAGTGTAAATTATATATGTGAAAACAGTACTGTAGCAAGCATAAAACTATGTTTACTCTGCCTAATGGATGATTTTAAGCAATTTAAGGAAAATCTGAATTTAACATAATTTTCTCCACACCTACTGGTTTTAAGCACTGATTTTAACTGCTTTGTAAGACACAACTCCCCTGCATCCCAAAACATCTACTTTAAATGGATAGCATTCATGGGAATCATGGGAATGGCATTCATGTCAAGGAACTTTGGAGGAAAAGTGTTTCTGCCTGCTGTAACATCACATCAGACCTACTCAATTTATTCCTTGTGTCCTGTTATGATTTAATTTACTCTTCTTTATTATACTCTCTCACTTCTATTATGTCTTTCTTAGAGTGCAACTATTAGGTTTTCATACCCCTTTCCCAAAGGGTCATGACTTAGAACAAAGGTTGATTCATATTTGTAGCTGTTGCACTGAAGTGTTGGATCTTTCTATTTAGGATATAATTGATAGTAACTTAATTCGATAGCCTATCAGTTTAGGTTTTTACTCACCATATATGTCCCTGCCCATCTTCAAATCATTACACCATTTCTACTTTATATCCTGAATTTAGAAGACCGCATCTTTTGTGAATTCAGAAGTTTTTCTCATTTTTATTTATTTTTTCAAGATTTATTTTATGTATACAAGAACCGGGGTACAGGCCAGATGCACGGAGGGTGAGAGTATTCACCTGAGACGGAGCGGGGAACAGAACAGGCAGACTGATGAAATACACTGCTGAGGGGAGAAGCGGGCGAGACAGGAGAGGTCTGCTCACCATGGGGGTTGCTCCGAGGCGGGCGGGGATCGAACCAGCACTGCAGAGGCTGCGGACAGCTTCACAGCGCTGCACTCAACTGCCTGTGCCACCAGGGAGGCCCTTTATTTATTTTTTAAAGATTTATTTTTATTTATTTATGCATACAAGAACTGGGGTGTAGGCCAGAGGTGCAGGGGCTGAGAGGATTCACCAGAGACAGATTAGGGCACAGAACAGGTGGATCTACTGAAATACACTGCTGAGGGGAACAGTGGGCGAGACAGAAATCTGCTGCACCATGTGGATTAGCATCCTGGCCTGGGATCAAAGTCATGCTGCAATGGCTGGTGATAGCTTGACAGCGCTGAGACTTTAACCCCTGCACCACCAGGGAGGCCCTCATTTTTATTTTTTAAAGGTGAGCTGATACCATATATTATATCCTGATACCACAAATAATATACTTCTTTCCAATACATATTTTTAATCTACTTGTTATTTTCTTATATCGAATATATTTCTAAACTTTGAATAACACACCCCTGAACACTCATGATGACCAAATTTAAAGTAATTTTCTTCTGGAAACTGGACAGTGACTTTGCTTTTTTTTTCTTTTATTTTAATCTAAAAAATGCCCTCTGGTTCTCAACCAGTTACCACTAATTAAAACCTCGATTGTCATTTTACCAAAACTTTATTTCTTCCTTACAAAAAAAAAAATTGCCACAGCTTGCAATAGCCTGCCCTTTTCTTTCTTTTTTTTTTAATTTTTTTTAAAGATTTATTTATTTATTTATTTATACAAGCACTGGGTACAGTCAGAAGCGTGGGAGGGTGAGAGAATTCACCAGAGCCAGAGCGGGGAGCAGAGCAGGCAGAAGGACCGAAATACACTGCTGAGGGGAGCAGCGGGCGCAGCAGGAGAGGTCTGCGCACCATGTGGGACCCTCGCCAGTGGCTGGGGATCGAACTGGCACTGCAGAGGCTGCGGGCAGCCTCGCAGCCCAGCGCTCAACCACTGTGCCACCAGGGGAGGCCCAATAGCCTGCCCTTTTCAGTGGAAATGAAGTACATCAGCATATGGTTTCCCAAAATATAAAGTTCCACTAGCCAATAGCCATAAAACCACTCTACTAGCCTTCTGGCACTTTTAAATTCATAATTTGCTCTCCTAAAATTATTAAAAATGTACAAATTTCTGGATTTGATTCCACCTAGAGTCAGTATCTTTTATATAAGGAGAAGGAAAGTCCGTTTTTTTCCAATTAGATCTAGAACTGTGCTGTCCAGCATGGTAGCCTCTAGTGTGATCACTCTGCACTTGAAACGTGGCACTTCCAAATTGAGATTTGCTGTAGGATAAAATATATACACCATCTCAAAAACTTAGAAAAAGTACAAAATACTTCAATCATTTTTTTTGCTTATGTGTCAAAATATTTTAATATATTGGCCCAGACAAAATGTGCTACAATTGATTTAACCTGTTTCTTTTTACTTTTTTAATGTGGTAATTACAAGTTTAAATTACATATGTGGCTCACATTTTCTTTATATTGAACAGCATTGGTCTAGAAAATCTTATATTACATTTACTGGTCTTTAGCAGCAGCTATCTCTGAATTGTTTTCAAAGGAAATTTGACAATAAAATTTTCAAGTGTCTTTAAGCAAATGTTTCCTTAGTTGTCCTTGATGGTCCTACTAAGTACCTAAATATCAGAGTTAGGAAATACATTAAAAAAACTTCTTGGAGTGAGGATGATTAATTTCTCATTAGATATTTATTTGAATGATCTTTGTCCCGTTTTTAAAGTGTGGTTATATGGAAATAAAAATGTCAAATCTATTCCTCAAATGACTTTTTATAGCTAAAAAAAAAAGCCTCTGGACAATGAGAATAATCATGGCGTTCTGTATCTTTGTATTAACTTGTTCTCATAGAAGCTATGAATGATCCACTGTATCAACATATTCAGCACCTAGGTTGTATACATGCTAAAAACCGACAGCAAGCAAGGATAACCATTTGTAATTCAGTTCATTGAATTGGGAACAAGGAGGGTAGGAGACAGATGAAAAAGATGTTCTGCTTCCTACAATTCACATCACCTAATGTTATGGTTGGGGTAACTCTGTGGAATTAATTTTCAATAATAAAAATATATGGAGGCCTCCCTGGTGGCACAAGGGGTTAAGCGTTAGCACTATGAAACTATCCCCAGCTACTGCAGCACGAGTTTGATCCCCGGGCAGGGAGCTACCCACATGGCACAGCAGACCTCTCCTGACTCGCCCGCTGCTCCCCTCAGCAGTGTATTTCAGTCAGTCTGGCTGTTCTGTTCCCTACTCTGTCTCTAGTGAATCCTCTCACACCCCCGCATCTCTGGCCTGTACCCCAGTTCTTATATGCATAAATAAATAAATCTTAAAAAAATAATATATATGAGTTAAATATCAGAACCAAAAAAATGTCTTTGAAGTTCCTAATGGTTTATACTGACCTTTTTTCTTACCCTCAGGATCTTTTTATAACAGCTTTATTGAGATCTAATTCACATATCATACAATTCACCCTTTTAAAGTATATAACTTCAAAACATATTCTTTTTCATCTTCCTTTTTTTCCATAGGGCTCTGTAGCCATAGCCGGCGCTGTTATTCGCTGGTTAAGAGACAATCTTGGAATTATAAAAACCTCAGAGGAAATTGGTGAGTATGTTCAAATGAGGGGCTAGACTCTGAGTAATAAAAAATTTTAATATTTTGTCTTTGCAATCTGTTAATACTTGTGCGTTTTGCCATATGTGACATTAAATTATATGGATCCTATTATGAATGTGATTTATAGATAAAAGACTTGTGATGATTTTAAAACAACAAATTGATGTAATTAGTGGTGTTTATTAATCAAGGCAGGTTATAAAAATTACCCAAGTGTAAAATTGAGCACCAAAGATTGCTAGAATCTGCAAACAAAGTAGTTCAGTTAAACTTATCTGATGGAAAGAGCCCTAACTTTCAGTTTCAAGCGAGCATTACAACTTTATTACATTACAGTAAGTAGGATATATTTCAGTGATTTTTGTTTTTGTTTTTCCATGTTAGAAAAACTTGCTAAAGAAGTAGGAACTTCTTACGGCTGCTATTTTGTGCCAGCGTTTTCAGGGTTGTATGCACCTTATTGGGAGCCCAGTGCGAGAGGGTAAGAATTGAAAATAAGATTTGCTTTTGTGGGTTTCGATTTATTCCCTCAGTTAGCTCATAGCTTATTCGTTAATAGTTTCCTACATATTTTCAAATGGTTTTAAAGTGTGAGGGAATTCTTTCCTATTTGAAGAGTATAATTTCAGAACTTTTGAACACCAAGAAGTTTAACTCATCTGCCAGGAAAGCCGCTGCCATCCTCATATTCATGTTAATGTTACTGCCTTTTATCTTCAAGTAGCTGCAGGTTGCAGAGTAGAGGGGCGTTATCAAGATGAATGCACATTTGGTTTTATATTACCACCATCTATTCAGATGAATCATGAGTTTTTCATATGTGGACACAGGATTATGTACTATAAGGGCTTTCTAAATTACTTACTGTTTATGGCCAAATTTTGGGGGGTTATTTTTATTTCTAGACTTTTTGTCTGCACATTTCTATCTGCCAAATTCAACCCTTCCATATTTAGGGCATTTCAGATTGATGACTCATTTGTTCTACTCTAATCTTAAAATCTTTGTATTTTTAGGATCATCTGTGGGCTCACTCAGTTTACCAATAAATGCCATATTGCTTTTGCTGCATTAGAAGCTGTTTGTTTCCAAACCCGAGAGGTAATAAATATGTGCCTGTTTTCTTGTAGTTAATCCAACTTTATCAATCTTAAATGAATTATAGATTAATGCTTGAAATGTATTAAATACTGGAAATGTACATAATCAAAAAGCCTGCCTAAACGCAAATCTAACAAATGTAATTTTCATTCATTTTCCAGCTAATTTTCTGTTCCCTGCCAGGTGTCTGGCATATTACACTTGGTAGGCCACTGAGTGGTACCTATTAGTGCAAGCATAGGCACTGAAGCATGAAAGCAGGGTATAACATAGAGTTGACTGGTGTGGCTGGATCTCAGGATGAGCGCAGAGGTGTAGTAAGAGAAAAGGTTGGTTGTGATCAGATCAAGAAGGGCTTGGAAGACCAGGATCAAAAAACTAAAATGCTACTCTGAAGGCTTTAGGGAGCTATTGAGCGTTATTAAGTACAAGATCACCACATTCAGAGATGTTACTAAGAAGTAGGCTAACTATGCTCTTTGCCTTGCTTTATTTAAGATTTTGGATGCCATGAACCGTGATTGTGGAATCCCACTCAGTCATCTGCAGGTAGACGGAGGAATGACCACCAACAAGATTCTCATGCAGCTACAAGCAGATATTCTGTATATCCCAGTAGGTTCGTAAGTCCTCATGCTTTTATGCCCCAAGAGTAATGTTTCTTTGGGAAGAACTGCTTTTTTTTAGCATTATGTAAATACAAAGATGCTGATGCAGCACTCTCCCCTCAGTGAAGCCCTCAATGCCAGAAACCACAGCCCTGGGAGCCGCCATGGCAGCTGGAGCTGCAGAAGGGGTTGGTGTTTGGAGTCTTGAACCCGAGGATTTGTCGGCTGTCACAATGGAACGGTTTGAACCCCAGATCAATGCTGAGGGTATGTTTAAAGAATGAAACTTTTTTTTAAAGATTTATTTATTTATGCATACAAGAGCTGGGGTACAGGCCAGAGGTGTGGGGGAGTGAGAGGATTCACCCAAGACAGAGTGGGGAACAGGCAGACTGACCAAAGTACACTGCTGAGGGGAGCAGTGGGCAAGACAGGAGAGGTCTGCGCCATGTGGGTTGCTCCCTGGCTGGCCAGGATCGAACTCGTGCTACCAAGGCTACGGATGGCTTCATAGTGCAGTGCTTAACCACTTGTGCCACCAGGGAGGCCCAAGAATGAAACTTTTTGATGGTGTCCTGTGAAAACCTTAGTGAGAGAGGGTTTGCCTTCCTGTTTGTTGGCAAGTTAAGAAACTAAGTGGTCTAGCAAATGCTGTTTCAGATTCAGCTACTAAGCATGTTGCACTCCACTGAATGAGTGTGAATGAGAGATATATTTCCTTCGTAAAGCAACTTCTAAAATCACTTTTTTACCATTCACTTCTACTGCCTACAGTCCTTTCATGTAGGAGGGCAACACTGCCACTATCTGTTCTAGCTCATTGTAATAGTCTATTTTAAAAGGGAGAAGGAAGATTTATCAACCACCCAACCCTAATGTCTACACTGGATCATTTTCCATGCCAACAGCTATGTCAGGACATGATCCGCTGGGCAGAAGGAAACTCTGGTGGTAACTTTTAAGCACATCAGTGTAGCCTGATAAAAACAGCAACAAGTTGAATAAATGAATCACATTAAATATGTGATTCACTTCTTAGCAAATTAAGCTAATTCACAACCTCTAACAAATACCTTTATTAAACTATAATGATGTATCTATTAAATTGAAATGAATGTGCATATGAAAATAAGGTTTCATATATATTGAATTTGGTTTTATAGCTTTTTGAAACCTATGCACAAATAGTATGAAAGTGGATTTTAAGCTATTGGAAAATATGCTTTCAAATCTGTTTTTGTTTAGTTTTCTGGAAGACTACACCAGCATTTCTTAATTTTATTGATTCTTTTCCATATCCAAGAAAACAAATGCTAGTAATTTTATAGTCAAGGAGTATGCCATGTACCTTGATATAGAAATGTGTTTCAAAATCTGACATTCTGTCTGTAAGTAATTTTTAGCTTTTGCAATATTGGATAAAATATGAAGTCCAAACAATGTGTGCACTTCTGAAAAAAAAACCCAACTTTTTAATAAGCAAATAATGTTCGAGCAGAGTGTATGTCTCAAAATGCTAATCACACACACACGTGCGCGCACACATACATGCAAATAGATGCTCATACATGTATGCACACGCATGAATGGGTACCTGCCTAGAGGTGGATAATTCATTCTTCCAGTAAACATTTGGTTAGAGCTGACTACAGATCAGCAACGTTACCAGTGTGTGGCTATAGAGATGAATGAGACCAAGTCCTTGCCCTTTGGGGGACTCAAGTATGGTGGGAAAGGCAAACAGAACCATGAACATTCACCGTGGTACTTGGTATCCTGAGGTGTGTGTGAAGTGCAATGGGAAGTGGAGGAGGGGACAAAAGTGGGGTGCTGGAGAACTTTCTGAACACGGTATCTCATGGGTGTTGCAGACTTCTGGTGCTGTGAAAGGCTGGGAGACTTGAGAAGGGTAGTCCCATGCATGATTCCATATCATATCATTAGGAGGACTATGGTGTGTGTGTGTGTGTGTGTGTTTGTACATGTGCCAGTTTTCCATCATTGTTACCTAGTGTCAGTTTCCATCTTAAAGAATTCTGTCTCACAAGAATGCAATTTGAGGGCCTCCCTGGCAGCGCAGTTGGTTGAGCACAGCGCTGTGAAGCTGTCCGCAGCCTCTGCAGTGCGGGTTTGATCCCGGCCAGCAGGGGAGACACCCACATGGCGCGGCAGACCTCTCCTGTCTCACCCGCTGCTCCCCTCAGCAGTATATTTCAGCCATTCTGCGTGTTCTATTCCCTGCTCTGTCTCTGGAGAATCCTCTCAACCTCCTGCACATCTGGCCCGTATCCGGGTTCTTGTATAAATATTTTTTTTAAATCTTTTTTAAAAAAAGGAATGCAATTTGAATCTTATAAGAAATAAGTATTTGTTAAATCCTTTGGCTGAACCAAAACCAATTTTTCTGGGTTTTCCATATTATGATGTACCCCTTCCCTTATCTCAAACTATCCATCCCCCTCAAAAAAAAACAAGAGAGAAACATCAGTTGGGATTCCCTCTTATATGTGAATGGGCCACCCTTAGCAGGTAGCCTGTCTCCCAAGTTCCCTTCACCTTGCAGACCCTCCTGAATTTCCCCAGCACCTTCTCTGAAGCTTCTTTCCCAGTCACTGGCCATCACATCCTGCGACCTGGGGAAACCCCCACTTTAGTTTAATATATGTAGCATTTTTTCAAGAATGCTGAATGACACAAAGATGGTGCTTAGGAGGTCTCAGCAAACTGGCCTTCATATATGTGTTTTTCCTTGTATTACTAGAAAGTGAAATTCGTTATTCTACGTGGAAGAAAGCTGTGATGAAGTCAATGGGTTGGGTTACAACTCAGTCTTCGGAAATTGGTAAGAATGCTGTTATTATTGTTGCTGATTGATTTTAGTGTGTTAAGTAGCTCATTTAAGTTTCTGACCATTTACATTTAATAAGGCTGCTTTGAAGGAAAGCATTATCATATGGCCAGAGTTTCTAAGATTTTGAAACACCTGAAAGTTCTAAACATGAAGTGTAAATTATCAGGTTGATATACATACTTCATTCTATCGTGCCATATCTTTTCTTAGCTTTGGGCCTGGTCCTTCAATTTATTAGTGTTCTAAAAATAAAATTACTTCTAGTTTCTGCTTAATGGGAAAAAATCAACTGGGGTCTTCTTTTTCTTTTTTCCCCTTTTAATGTCTTACTTTATCTTTTTGAGAGGCTGTCTTCATGACCTGAGGCAATGGAAAGCTATCTCAATTTGAGAATATATTTTGGCCACTTCCTAGGCTGATTCCACTATCTTAGCAAGTCTTCATCATTGGAATTCATTAGAATCAGAGAGGAAGAAACCATATCAGAGAGGAAGAAACAACATAGTAAACTAGAAGTACCATAATAGATTGGGAAATAGATTTGGCAGAAAATACAGGACTTTTTTTAAGTCGCCTGGATAAGGAGGTATTAGGCTTAGGTAAACCATGTAGTTATAAACAGCATAAGCTGCTTGAATATTCAAATAATCTGTCATGCCTCTGGTGTGGCATAATATTTTAATTCTTTGCCAAACATAAGATTTAGAACTTAAGCAGTGAAACAATGGCCAATAATATATTGAAGCACATACTTTAATAGACAAGAGCTTATAAATGAAATATAATCTGCCTTCCAACCCCAAAGTGATTATGGATCCACCTTTAATGTATCTGGCTTTTAGGAGAAGCTTCTGGAACATCCACTGCCAAAGATCACTATGATCTATATTTTCATTTTTGGACATTCCTACTTGAAGCTTTTGTTTTTTTCTCCTAGATAAACTTAAGATCATTTTTAAATCTTTTGTCCTGAGACTCAACTTCATTTCCAAGATGATGGCAATGATTTTCTTGCTAAGACTATTTGTAATTATGAGACCTTTTATAATTAAACTTCCAATCATAAATATTTTTCTAGCACAGTGCTAGTTGCTGTGTTAAATATAATGTGTGCCCTGATTTCCTTTCTGATGCCATCCTCCTGTGTCTCTTCTGACCACCTCAATCCCTCCCTATCCCCACCCTTACCCCCCTCCCCACACACACACACACACACACACACTATTCGGCATACTGGCAGTTGAGGATATAATTTTAATTACAAGTTTCCCACCATTCCTACTGGTCATTTATCTTTTAGGTATCTCTCAATGAATTAAAAATGCCAAGAAAAAGTTGATGAAAGAAAATTACATGATTTATTTTATTTCTATCAGCATTTATGATAAAAAGTAACTGATTTTTTTATTTTAGATTCTTTTAATTTTGTTTTCATTTCGATTAGATTGTAGTAGATTTGAACCAACATTTGAAAATGTTTTTTTGAGTAGATTTATGAAAATCACTCTAATGTATAATATTTTAAGAATCTTTGAGCTATATAGCAAACTGAAAATAGTAATATGTAGTTATTGAAATGTTAATTGTATTCCTTTAAGCAATATAAGGTATATGATATGATTCTATGTTATATCAATGAGCTACATAACAAAAGCAGTACTGATAGCATCCTGCTTTAATAATCTTAAAATGATGAAACGATATTAGAATTGCTACCAGTTATCATAAATGATGAGTTCTTGGCTTTCCACTCAAAATCCAGCAAAATAACATTTTGAAAACAGGTCGGAGTGGTTTAAAATGCACTATACCGCTATAACAAGTAAATTATATTTATGTATCTTACCATATCAACCGAAGGGAAATATTTTCATTAAATAGATGCTACCTAAACTGATAAGGACTTATGAGCGCAGATCATCCTCACGATTTTTTCAAACTAGAACTCACTGTAGCCCCATCAGAAAAGCAGCTATTGTAACTTAGAGCTGTTGGTTCTAAACAAACTAGAAAATAGGTTCCCTTTGCCAAAATCAAATTAAAATATGGTCTCTACAAATATGGAAATAAAAAGTAACCATGTTTTTTATTTGAAAAATAACATAAGCTGTGGGTAAATGAGGGCGATGGTTTAATTCCCTGTTTTATGAAAATATTCCTTCTAAGGGAAAAACTACATGGTGAAGGGAACAAATCCTCTCCCAAAAAGCAAAGAAATAAGTGTCACTAGTTTATAATATGAAAATATGCCCAGTGCAAATGTTAGGATGCATTTTAATGAAACTCATTTATCTAATGGTTGTAGTTTCTTAACTCTTGGGAATTAATTTTGTTGATTTTCTTATATAGCTTGCATAGCTGTACTTACATAGCTATAAAACTTGGGGTTACATTTTCACACCTCTATATGTGCACATGCTTAAATACAGTTCTTTCTTAAGAAGTGTACAATAAGTGTTAAATAATCTCGATATATAATTTTTTAATTCAAGTAAAACATAAATAAAGAGTATTCTTTAAACAAAAGATTCTAATAGAATCCAGATTAGAAAATATCAAACCAACCATGTTCTTGGCAATTTTTTATAAACATGGATTAATACAATTTAGCTTTAAATTACAGTAATCGTGTCAGGTGCATTTCCTTACATATTAAATTTTATTTAAAAAAGAAAACAAAACCAATGCCTTAGATGACTATAACGTTCCTCTGATAGCCAAAGGAACTATAATCTGACCTTGGGGTGCACTGCAGTGCTCACTTAAGGCTTGATTCTCCTGGAAGGATCAAGAAATCTCAAATCAACAGCCTCCCAAAAAGCTCTCCATAAGCTTTCTTTGGCTTTGCCAGTGGAAGGCTTATGTTGATCTCTATGTATTATGTTCTTGGCTACCTGTGGCATGCTATCTGTATTGTTTGTTAACTGTCATAAGTCTTCAATATTGATTATATTTTTGATTTGAAGTAATAACACTTTGCTATCTTTTATGAATATACTATTTTATAACTTATTTTGTTTTGCTATCATGTGATTCTTAACACAAATATTGTAATTATGTGTCTCTCTTTTGGTTTGCTTGACTGGAATTCCCTTCTACCTGGATGGCCACAGGTGACCCTAGTATCTTCTGTAGTCTGCCCTTGGGCTTTTTTATAGTGAGTAGCATGGTAATGTTAATCGGAGCAAGGTACATCTCAGGTCAGTTATTCTTTAAATTAGACAATTTTATTAGTTAGCTTTGATGTGTTTATATATAACTCAGCAGAGAGGTTTCAGTGTTTTCCATTCTAACTATGATTAGAAACCTGGGAAAAAAATTTAAGGTCTAATTAGTCAGACCAATTAATCTATTGGGGCAGTCAGAATTAAAGACTGTAACTGTACTTAACCACTTTTTAATTTTTAGTACATAATGATTTCTTTGCTGGGCTATATTTGAGGGGCTGTCAGCTAGAGCAATAATCAAAAATGAAAGTACGAATGTTAATGCTTACATGAAAGGACTTTTGGAGTAACAGAGGAAAGTTATTTTTGACTTTCATTAAATTGGCTTTCAAATGTATATAAGTTGTTTTTCATACTTTGAAAAATTGCTAAGCAAGTTTTAATACATATTTCAACTCTGGGAAAAGTTTCAGCCAGAACATATTAGCAGAGTTCCCATAAAACTCTTAACTGGGAAAAATATATAATCACTTGTGTTTTAGTTGGAAGAACACATTTTGTGAACTGAGATTTTTTTCAATCATTGTTTCAATAAATTGGGCTTGAAAGCTTAAACTAAATTACTTTAGCACTTTAACTTCTACTGAATATTTATAAAAATGAAAATGCTTAGCATTTCTTGAAAGACATGGCATAATCTGTTTGAATTTAATTATAATAATCATTTTTGGAAGGTGTTTCTGATGATAGCTCAATTTTTCTTCAAATTAATGGCTGAAATGGAAATGACTTGTTGCCAGGAAAGTGAACCATTTTATAATCTTCACAATGCCAGAAAGAATTTAATTATTTCTCTTAATTGGAGATGATGATCTGGGTTTAAAATGTAAAATTTAAATGTGTTAATATGGGGGGACATCTATTTGTAGAAATCTGACAAGCATTAATTCAGTTGGCATCATCAGTTTAGTGGTATATAAATATGGAATGAAAATTGTTTATATCTTTATATCAGCAGAACATTAAATTACTTTTAATTAATGATCAAATTTGAGTTGCTTGAAAAAGAATTTTAAGCTTGTTTACCTTGTTCTGTGCCCTTCGTATTTAGGATAAATTTATTCAAATATTTTGCTTCCACAATAACAATATCTTATGTTGATATTAGTGTTTGATGCCTTAACAAGGGCTTCTGCACACATAAACCTATGTGGAGTCAGCAGATGTCTGTTTTCATTCTGCTTCATGGGAATGCTTGGTGGAAGAGCCCAAATATTCCCCAGAAACACTGTGATCTGACTGTATAAGAAGCCTATATACTGTTTTAGGAAAAGTTTTTGTTTTTTTTTTCTTCGTTATCCTGGGTCCTTTTGGCTGTATAATTAAGGTCCGGAAAAGAAAAATACATAGCATCTGAATGTTTTCTTTGATTTTTTTTTTACTCTTTTCCCTTGTGGTGCTATGACAGCTTAAATAGGCCAAGTCTCTGAAGTTGGAACATATAGCATTTCTCCAAGTGAGAGGATGCATTTGTCCAAGTCCCTAGGCTTCCAAAATGCCTATGGTTACCGTCTTTAGTTTCTCTGTTGGTAACAGTGGGATATTTTGCCTTAGTGAATAATTGGCAACATTGTTAATATTTGCTAATTTTTGACCTAGTTGTTTTGGTTGCATTTTTAACTGTGAAACAATATTTAGAAATCATGGGGAATTTTTAGCTCAATAAATGATTAAATAGTCTTCATTGCTTTAACTCCTTGATTACATGTATTTATTATTGACATATATGGTTTTTGTCCCCTGTTTTAGGTATCCCATAAGTAATACCAGCTCATGGATTCAAAAGATGCGAGCTTTTTACCTAACAAGAGAATTCAGCGATTATGTCTTTTAATGTGATGACACTATTCATAGACTGATTTTATTTTTAAGCCACTTGCTGCATGACCCTCCAAGTAGACCTGTGGCTAGAAATAAAGAAAATGCAGCAGAAAGAATACTATAGAAACATTTGGTGTGTTTTTTAACATTAACAGTTAAGATTGGACCAGCCACCTTTCAGGCTGACCCCTCTGTTGCCATCACTTCTAGCTCAGTTCCCTGTAAGATCCAGGAAGCATTTGGATCCTGTCCACTGGAATCTTTCATCAAACATATTCAGATGCTGATGGGCCAGGATTTGATTCTCTGCACTACATACACTTGATGGGTTATTACTAACTGGCTAATCATGAGCAACTTTTTGTTTCTTTTGAACACCCCCCCCTCCACACACACACACCTCCCCCCCAAATTCCTCTTTTCCGCATATTAGGGACATCTTCATGATTGTTTTAATGTAAATCTCTGCTAAATTCTTAACATGGAAATTTAGCACTCTCACAGCCTAGATATTTTTCTGAAAAGGACTTGCCAAAACTAAAATTCTTTAGACATTTTACATATTCTCACTAACTACATTGAAATTGCTGCCTGAATCTCATGGGGAAAGATGTTTTTTCCTTTTGTCATCTCTCCTTTTTATATTTTTTACTTTGTATGGATAATACACCTGCCTATATATTTTATATTATAGGGCAGCCCATTTGTAAATTGAGTACATTTTACACAATCTCACTAATTACGGTGAATTTCTGTCTGCATCTTACAGGGAGAAACACTTGCTCTTTTTTGTTCTTTTCATCTCTCCTTTTTATATTTCTTACTTTGTATGTATAACATACACACCTATGCATTTTTTTTACCGAGGATAGCCCATTTATAAATTAAGAGCACATTGAATTCATTAGGTTGTAATGGGGCTGGTCTTAAGTGGACCACTATGTGTATAAATATTTTGGGGAAAACAGCTGTGTACATTTTGGGGCAATGGTTATGCATAATTATTTACCAGGAGAAACTTTTTCTTAAAGAGTCAATATTTAAAATTTAATCAAATGTTCTATGTCAATAAAAGAAAATGTACTTTATTGTGACTTCAACTATTTTTCTTATACCTTATCTTTTAATTTAATTGTTTTCACTGGATATATGCTAGAGAAAAAAAAGAAAAGCCTGGAATACTACAGTAAATATTGTTTGCAAGCACTAGTCCATATGAAGTTATTTTTCCTTGACCTACTTTTAGACACATTTGGGATCCTTTCTAACTTCAAAAAAGTTAAAAACCTAAGTAGAAAAAAACTTTCTTAGGAATAAAGCCAAGAATACTCTTCTCACTCAAATATATTATCAACTACTGATAAGCAATTATAATATTGGGGATGACAGAATTATCTCTGTTTAATGTCATATTACAAATGAAAAGAAATATTTACCATTAGAAGTGACTTCTAATGAAACCAAGAATTTCTCAAAACATTTAGTATGACTTGTTATAAAAATTTACCTAATCTAGTCTCTTAATATCATTTTTAAAATATCTTAGTTTGTGTTTAATACACATAAAAAATTGCCTCTTAATTATTTTCTTCAATCACTGCTGAAAATGGGGAAATTTTTATATGTTAATATAAAAGGTTTTGTTTGGTTTGGAATTAATAGTTGCTTGCATTTACAGTTCTGGTTGTGCTATTTCTAAATTATTAAATCTACCGAATTTTAGACATGCAGCTGCCATTTTAGTGACATTAAATATTATAGAAAGGTTCTGTGAAATTATTACTTTGTGGCAAAGATACTTTTAAACATTATTTCTACAAAGGTAGCTTGAGTTCATTGTAAATAGTTGTGAAAAACACTGTTCAAACAATTTTAAGATTGATTTTCTGCAAATGGCAATATTTATAAATACTTGAAATTGTACATGTTGATATTTAATGATGAATTTGCATAAAATAAATTGACCCCTCATTCTTACTTGTATTCCTCATTTACAGGCTACAACTTAGATCAAAGTTAATTTAAGAAAAATGTTTCAAGAAATGGAAAACTCAGTTGTTAGCACTTGAATCAGGCACATCCTGAAGAATTAACCAACAGTCGAAGAAGTAATTTCTGAAATCATGAGTACCTTAATCATTCTGCTAGAAAAGATGACAGTGTCCTATCTCAGCCTCCAGAAAATACCTTGGCAAGGCTAATGCCATATCAATACAGTGTCTCAGAGCAAGCTATTTTACTCTGTACCATTCGGTTTCGCTTCACCTGGTCAGTCTGTGGAGCGAGGTACACAATTGTTCTCTCAACTCAATCTCTGACTCAAACTAATTAGCAAAACAAGTCGTTCATCTTTGTCTCTGAAATGATAGCTTAGATTATTTTTCATGTATTTCTTTTGAAGTACCCAAGGTGCACTTCTTTGGAATGTTTATGGCTGTTTTGTATCATGTGAGAATCACAAATGATAGTTTTTTAAGAAAAAACATGAAACAAAAATTGTCATAGTACCAAAACTAACAGCATTGACGGTAGAGTAGGTAGCATTGAACTCATAGTGCCTACCTATTAGTCAGTAAAAGTACAAAAATTATTTTTCAAAAGCTTTAGTAAGGTATTGTTGATATACAGAAAAATGCGCACATTTAATAGATACAATTTGATGAGGTTAGGCATATGTATCTACCTGTGATACTATCGCTACAGTCAAAAGTATCCATCACCTCCAAAAGTTTACTGGTATATTTTGTGTGTGTGTTTATGCGTGTGTGTGATAACAACTCTTGTCATGAGATCTACTCTCTTCACAAGTTTTTAAGTACTCAACACCATATTGTTATTTATAGGCACGGTGCCATACTGTATATAGGTGTAGATTTCTAGAATTCATTATACCTATTGAACAACAACTCCCCATCTCCCCAGCCCTTGGCAACCACCATCTAATCCTTTCCTGTATTTGACTTTTTAGATTTCAGACATAACTGAGCTCATGCAGTATTTATGTGTCTGTCTTATTTCTCTTAGCATAATATCTTCCAGATCCGCTGCTGTTGGCACAAATGGTAAGATTTCCTTTTTTTTATTATTATTTTTTTATTGATACTCTTTTTTATTTAAATTTTATTTTTATATTCCCCATACAATTACAATCCCCTTATTTTGACCCCAATCCCTCCTTTTCCCATCCCACCCCCCATAGAGTGTCCCTGGTTCATAGTTGTTTGTTGATTTTGATATTTTCTTTCTTAGAGTTATTCTTTTTCCTGGCCCCTTATTTAAGTTTTCTAGATTCCTGCTATGAGTGAGACCATCCGGTATTTTTCTTTTTCTTTCTGGCTTATTTCACTGAGCATGATCCCTTCCAGCGCCATCCATGTTGCTGCAAACTGCATGTGTTTATCTTTTTTGAATGCTGAGTAATATTCCATGGTATATATGTACCACATCTTCTTGATCCAGTCATCTATTTTTGGGCATTTGGGCTGTTTCCAAAGCTTAGCTATTGTAAATAGTGCTGCTATAAACATAGCGGTGCAGGTGCTCTTTGGAATTGGTGTTTCTGTGTCCTTTGGGTAAATACCTAGGAGTGGAATTGCTAGATCATATGGAAGCTCTATGTTTAGTAGGTCAAGAAATCTCCACACAGCTCTCCACAGTGGTTGGACCAGTTTGCACTCCCACCAACAGTGCAGGAGTGTTCCTTTTTCTCTACATCCTCGCCAACATTTGTTGTTGCTAGTTTTTTTAATATGTGCCATTCTCACTGGTGTAAGATGGTACCTCATTGTAGTTTTGATTTGCATTTCCCTGATTACAAGTGATGTTGAACATTTTTTCATATGCCTTTGGCCATTTGCATTTCCTCTCCAGAGAAGTTTCTTTTTAGCTCTTCTGCCCATTTTTTGACTGGATTATTTACTTGGTTTTTGTTGAGTCTCATGAGCTCTTTGTAGATATTTGTGATCAGTCCTAAATCATTAGTGTTGTGTGCAAAAATGTTCTCCCAGTTGGTGGGGTTTCTCTTTGTTTTTGTTATTGTCTCTTTTGCTGTGCAGAAGCTCTTCAGTTTGATGTAGTCCCAGCTGTTTATCTTTGCCTTCACTATCATTGCTTTGGGTGATGTGTCTGTAAAGATGTCTTTGATGTGCATATCATGTAGTGTTTCACCTATATTTCCTTCTATGTATTTTATGGTTTCAGGTCTTATGTCTAGTTCTTTAATCCATTTTGAGTTGGTTTTTGTGCATGGTGTTAGGTAGTAGTCAAGCTTCATTCTTTTGCATGTAGCGACCCAGTTTTCCCAGCACCATTTATTGAACAAACTTTCTTTGCTCCAATGCATATTCTTTGCTCCTTTGTCAAAGATTAGTTGACCATAAATCTGTGGGTTTATTTCTGGATTTTCTATTCGATTCCATTGGTCTGTGTGTCTGTTCTTGTACCAATATCATGCAGTTTTGATGATTATGGCTTTGTAGTATAGTTTGAAGTCTGGGAGTGTGATGCCTCCATTCCCTTATTTTTTTTCAGGAGAGCTTTGGCTATTCGGGGTTTTTTGTGATTCCATATGAATTTCATCAATAATTGTTCTATTTCTTTGAAGACTGACATTGAAATTTTGATTGGAATAACATTGAATCTGTATATTGCTTTTGGTAGGATGGCCATTTTAATAATGTTTATTCTTCTAATCCATGAACAGGGGATGTCTTTCCATTTCTTTGTGTCTTCTTCTATTTCTTTTAACAGTGTTTTATAGTTTTCTTTGTATAGGTCCTTTACCTCTTTTGTTAGATTTATTCCCAAGTATTTGATTTTTTTTCCAATAATAAAAGGGATTTTTTTTATTTCTTCTTCTTCAAATTTATTGTTTGTGTATAGGAAAGGCTACTGTCTTTTGCGTGTTGATTTTGTATCCTGCCACTTTACTGAACTGATTGATGAGTTGAATTAGTTTTTCTGTGGAGTTTTTGGGGGTTTCTATGTATATTATCATGTCATCTGCAAATAGTGATAGTTTGACTTTTTCTTTTCCTATTTAGATTCCTTGTATGTCTTTCTCTCGTCTTACTGCTCTGGCTAGGACTTCCAGTATTATATTGAAAAGCA